CACCATCGAAATTCACCTGCAAATTACCCTAAGGACATTTGTTGGTATCCATTCGTTTGATGTGTTTGAGCTTTTGATTTTGCCATTTGATTAGAGACTTTCGTTTTGAATTTTCCTCGGAGTTCTGTATTTTTGTTATTTTACTTTTTATATTTGTTTTTTGTTTTTGTCTTTCATATTGTTGCACTTGGGTTGTGTTTTCACCTTACCTATGTGACCTACCGAATTATACTTATCATTAAGTTTGTACTAACATGAGTAACACGACGGGTGCCGCATGTGGAGCAGGATTTGCTTACCCTTCCTGAGCACCTGAGGTCACCCCCAGTTTTTGGTGGTGTTCGTGTTGCTTAGTCTTTGGTTTTTTTTTATATTGTGTTGTGTGTACTGTTGTTTGCCTGTTTGTCTTTTTTTCTTGTTCATGAGTTTGACTGTCCCTTTGGTATTCTTCGCCTGTCTTTTACATCCACATTCATCATATTTACATGTACCCTCGATATGCACAATATAGGTGATAACAGGTGTTTGTTAATAGTTAATATGTTCAGGTAAACGTTTTAATAAAACATATAATATAAAACACATTACAGTTATTAGACAAACACTGTTACTAGATGTTGTGATTCGTTCAAATATGTTTACCTTACAAAGTATGTGGATACTTTCTTTTCCAATGTTTTCTAATGCCTCTTTGATGTCTTTAAATGTCACCATCCTGCTATCTCGACATTGTCTTAAAATTTCAAAGCTTGAGGTCGTTGGATCTTTAGTTTCCAATATGGTTTCAACTTCTCTGTTCGACCATCCCAAATGTATTGTCAGCTCTTTAGCTTCAAATGGACTGTACAATAACGACAAACGACGTAAATGTAGGTCTGATGGTGTCGCTTTCAGAAACTCTTCTTTAGTAACTGTATCGAAAATGCTGCATATGTATCATTTAAAACAACAGGATTTTTATTTAAAAAAACATTGAAGATAGTCATTAGACAGTTTGAAGAAACACATCTTACAAAAACACCGAAACATAATATCACAGATACATATTACTGTGATATAAACAACATCATTGAGAAACAGACAAACGCATATTTTGTCCAAACAGCTTATAACAAGAAAAACTGATACAAACAACATTATTGCAAACTAAAACTAAAAGATGTATATTATCTTCAAATCAGGTTTTAAAATGTGCCCCGGATAACTTTAATTTCTTCTTAAAATTCATTCCTGCCAGTGAGAAATCAATTCCTATCAGATGGTAAGAATGGTATGCAGAAATATATGTCTACGATATAATGTTATACACTATTCTCGTAACGTGTCATATGTTTATGATTCAAACAAAAAAATTATGTAATGCTTTCCTGGTAACGATTTAAAAGGTTAATCATGTAATGCTTTCCTTTTTATATCAGCCGTTTGCCTTTAGCAATGATATATGTTTAAAACATGTAATATTGACAATTCACTTTTATATATGCCACGGTTTAACATCGAACTGAGGAATAAATAGATTTAAGATAAATATAGCAGTGCGAGAGAGAAAAGTAAACAAAGGCTAATACTTGAAAAGATTTACCACATGATTCGACGATAACGCAATGAAAATTGACAAGATATCTAAATATTGTCAAAATCATTTGATTATCATATGCACACGGTATAGCGCATTTTGTTTTAATAAATCATGACAAAAACTCCTGTATAACTAATTCAAGGAAACACTTGATATATCTACTGCGTCCAACAAGCTTCCCTTAATTTACCTTTATTATGAACATTTAATCCCAATATTTTACTTACCCATGGTACCTTGGTGTCCGTACACATGCTATGTGACCATAAAAGTTACGCTAAATATAGCCATATCTATATACGGTAAAATTTGCTTGATGGAGTTAAAAGCATATTTTATTAAAACATGCTCAGGGTATCAACTTCGAATTTTGAAAGGTTTGTATTACATTACGTTAGTACCGAAACTTACAGAGACATGAACAGTGAGACTCGTCGACATTGAATGTGTCCTTTACTTTTTCATCAGAAAAAAAAGTTGTTAACGTACGAACATTATTTGTTGAACAGTGCTCATGCTATCACACGAAACGATACGAAAATACAACTATCAAAATGTAAAAGGTTGAGAGGTAATTGATATTCTAAAGCTAGTAGTCCTCCAAAAAATGACAAAAATATGAAACTATAAATGACGTTATTCGTTATTCAACAATACCTGTGCACCCGGGTTTGCACTTTTCTTCATCCTGAGGAAAAAAAGTAAATAATAAACTTATTGAAAGGCAATTATTTGATTTTATACATCAATTCGGTATACATAATTAAAAGGTTTACCGCCAAATTGATGGGATAGAAATTGGAAAACGATCGTAAAATCTACAAACTATCTTTGTATTAGCATACATCAGGCTTGGCATAAAGAATTTTCCCTATTCGTACATTATAATTGGTTCTCAGAAAATATATGCATCGTAACTTTTAATTTCCATATGTGTATCTATTTAAAAAGCATGACAGATAGAGTAAAACGGGAAGAATACAATTTCGAGCATTTCACAAAAAAAAGGTGTTAAGTTTGATCATCATAATTACCGTTTAGTTGTTATTTTTTTTCGTTAACAGAAAAAAAAAATGTCATTGTATCAGGCAGTACATTTTTTTCTCGGATCTTAACGGTCAATTTGATATTATTCTAAACGATAAGCAAGTTTATCGATGTAAAATTGGAATGTCGAATCGATATAGGTGTGTATTCATTTCAGTATTTTGCCTGCGATTTCAACAAAAACAAACATTCCATCACATATATTACTACCTTTTCTGAAATCCATGATGTCATTGTGTGTATCCTGTGTTCAATGCCATGTGAAGGACATATCCACACTTCTTCTGTGTTAGCTAGATCGTTGACTTGGAGGAAACATAGGTTATCTGGTGAGTTACAACATATCCGGGTCATAAAAGATGCATCACTGGTTTGAGTCTGGTCGCTACTTGTTCTAATATACAGCTGACTTATTTTTTCTAAGGCTGATGTTAGACATTCATAGATACTGGAAGCTACATCCCTCATTATAAGTGAGTTTGATGTAGCATGAACAAGACGGGCAATGATAATCTTATCTTCGCAGGCAATGTACATATCTAAAGACGGATCAATGGTGAACACCCCTGACCTATGGAACAACATGTCCTTGTTGGGCTCTCCGTATGTCTTCACCGCCCAGACATATAGACAGTAGCTTATAAATCTAAATGATAATGCAGGAGGTATCATCAATGATGACGATTCAAAGGCTATGGCAATACTCCTGTGTGTGAAACCAGCTGAACGGAGGTATCCAGAATCATCTTCCGCTCGTATCATACTTGCAACATAGTAAAACTCAGCAGGGATACGGTTGTGGTCTGAATCGTATCTTTTTGGTTCTACCAATATATCCAGGTGGGTCATGACATCCAGTAAGTAATCTTTATCTTTGTAGAATTTCCGATATATCTTTTTCTTCCAAACGGTTTTGATAACTTTCTTTGAGACTACCCCTTTCTTGCCCATTACATCCCACAACTCTTCCCTTTCTGTGTCTCCTTGGCAGAACCTCCTATCAGTAACAATAGATTTAAATGCATCAATGAGAAGAGTGGGAGTTAGAATTATTCTGTCGTCCAATTTATGTTCATCAAAGTACAAAAGCTTGCCAATGGAATGCTGAAATTTAAGAAATACATTTAACTCAACTTCTGACAATGGTCTTACAGGCTGCGATGAGTTTATTTTCTTCAGATGCTCTAGGGTGATCAGAGGAATGTTGCGTCTGATCAGCGATGCAAATTCTAATTCTAACGGGATAAAGCACTTTGGAAGGGGTTCGCCCCATGTTGGTTGCCTCTCTGATTCTCTGATGATAGCAGCCTTTATAGCCGCCATTTCTGGGTCATATTTGTCTTTAGCGTTTACAAATATTTTATTATCAATCACCAACTGTTGCATCAATGGCGTTTTGTGGAACATCTCGTAGATTTCTCCAAATATGTCATGTCGTCTTGTTTCAACCTCACACTGAAAATAATACCAATATGATATGTTTACCCAAATATTTATATTAAACAATCACTTATATTTCAATGAAAATATTTAATTGTAAGTTCTACTTGTTGCTTATTTACTAAATTTACCAATTAAATTATCGAAATCACACCATTACTTGCATATACAAAACGAGTAAAATCGGGATTTCAAAATTATAACACTGGTATCATTTTATAGGAGCAAAAACAAAAGATACGGAAAAGATACCCAAATTAAGAAATCAAATTTAAAAAAAAAAATGGAATAAATAAATAACATTCGGAAAATTATAATTAGCAGGCAGCAATCCAACCTTAGATCAGACAATACCCAAATTGATATGCACAAAACATGTTTCTGGAGATCAGACAACAAAAACAACTACACAGTACAAGCAGTAAATGCGTAAGTAACGATGATGTGTATCTTATATAACAGTCTTTACAAAATATAAACCAGTATGTTTGTAACCGTTTTCTAGACACTTGCCCTACCTACGAAACACGAATCTGGCGTATTCTAGTAAAAGCCAGGCACCTTTTAATGGGTATATGTAAGAATACAGTGTGTATTTTATTATGAAGAAACGAAATATAATAAAACTAGTTTCTTTATATATTAAATACAACATAAATGAGGACTTTATCTAGCATTCTAATTGGCTATTTCGTAGGGCTCATGTCATGTAGACATATACAATGTTAGGTAGGCAAATTCGTAGATCGACTAGTTGATTTATTGTGAGCTAAAACGCCTTTTTATTTGATCTGCGTTTAACGCACTAAAAAACAATAAATATTCTCCATTTTATATTCAATCATTAAACATTAATTATTTTTTTACTGCATATTACTCAAAATCCAAACAGTCCATCATTTCAAATGTAGAACGTGTTCCAAAAAATACTTACAGCTTTTACCTGATCTTTGTGCGTTAAAACAACCATAATTTTAGGAAACCCCTGAATACTTCCTTTACAGTATGTTACAATGGTGTTGATCCAGAATAGCAGATAATCTGTAATAATAAACAAAATAAAGAATGAGAGTACATAAGAGGAAAGGTACTACTGTCATTTAAATGTATACGTTCTCTGCGAAATCTACTGTCTACTAAATAAAGTAATTGAGTGCTAAGTCTTGTAATACTGGACTAACATTTGAAAGTGTTTAAGTTAACAAGCGTATTTTTTAACATATTTGGAAATGTTGTTTACCTTGTTTACTTTTGTTTCACAACAGTGTGTATTTCAAATGTATGTATGTTTAAACATACCTCTTGAGGTTTTATGTCCACTCTTTCCTGGAAGGTACTGTTCAAACGGACAAGGATCATCAAGTTTTCTACTTCCATCCAATACAACTATGTAAATAGCTCTGTATGTCAGAAATGTCTGATGAGTTGAATAGAAAACATCCTGCCCTCCAAAATCCCAGATGATTATAGGTGCTATCTTTTTGTTGTGTAACTTCTTTTTTCCGACTTTATAAGACTTCTCTAAGAATTTTTCTTTAGTGATTGACACTTTTACTTCTTTGACTTGTTTGGTAATGCCAAAGAATTTTTTTAGCTTTCTAATAATTCCAGTTTCAGTAACAGTTTCTATAAGCAAATTACCGGTGACACCTGCCTTTGAAGAGTCATCACGAGAATCGTCTATTGGTTTGTATTCAGCAAACGAAGCTTCAGATATTTCTCTTTTTTTCGCAGCATCCAAATTGCTGTGTTCAATTGTATAATCGTGTGTGACTTGTTTGTTCCTAGTTCTTAAGTAATCTGAACTTTTCCCATCAAAATCAAGTCTACCTGATTGCCTTTCTGAACTACGGAGTTTGCCTTGTACATCTGACTCATATGTGTCATCGTTGTCTACTATTTCTGATTTCAGTCCTGAAACATGACCTGGTAGTTTCTTTTCCATACTTATTGCCAAACTACCAGCTAAATCAGGTAAGGTTTGAAAGTCATGTTCAGACAGGGTTTTGACATTTTCATATTTTGTCATGGAGCTTTTAGTAGATGACGATGCATCTGACGATCGTGATTCATTTGATTTATAATTCAGATCTCCTTCGCTGGCCGACAATGATGCGTCTACTCTCACATCTGATACATTTTGACTGGTTGACGTTGTATCTGGTAACTTAACATTCTTTTTTCGTTTGTCTTCTCGTAAAAGGGATCTGCTAACTGTGATTTCTTCGAGGGAAAATCTAATTGAGAGATTATTCAAAACTATTCATTATATACTAGATGTGTTGGCAACGTTCAATATACATGTAACTTTAAAAACATAAAGCAAATACATATTTGTATACGTATGCACTACATTTTACCAGCGACAACGCTATGTGTTTTACGGCAATAATTAACATCTTTGGTAACTTCTAATTTCAATTACAAACATGTTTGATGCCTTATACCTCACAACTAATGTTATAAGACTATAATAACTTGTGAAATGTGTCTATAAAGTTAATTGCAAAATAGGAATGGAATGTACTGAACGCGAAAGGGAGGATACTCTTGCAGAATCGAGGGTGGCTGTTAGATTGTTGATGCAAATCAGTAAAATAAAAAATTAAAACTTATAAGTATATGAAAACTCCGTCATTACAAATATGTGTTGTCACTGGAGACAAAGTCTCTTACAATTGTGTTTGAATATTGCATGGCATTAACTGCATTATAACGGACTGTGTTGTTGGTAAACACCTGTGAAACTTGGAAACCTAAACATGTGACAACAAAATTTAATAAAGAAAGGTCGGATGCCTATACATTTAAAAATGAAAAAAAAAAAGATTTTCTTTAAGTGAACTAAGTTACATATTGGAAGTAAAAGTAAATTATGAAGTTGAAAAAAGCCAAACATTTGGAACAATTAGGAAAAACTAACACAACAGTTGTACTGATGTTAAAATGTTTCAAATATTGGAATCAATTATATCCCTTTGCATTCGGACATTTTCATTTATTCTAATGAGACAGCCAGCAAACATGAACTTCCCACGGAAAATGAAAAAAGAAGCATTAAACGTAGATTCAAGTTTTTGTTTCGAACAAAAAATCGACAAAGATGGTCGATTTAGAACTAAATTCGGTTGACGGTTTTTACTTTTCTACTATTTATATTACACTACCACACAATCTTATTAAACAACAGTTTTCCTATCTAATTAAATGATAGTTTGATAAATCTGATTGCAAATGTAGTTGCTGAAACTTATATACAGCCTTTTTTCTCAAATAAAAAGGTAAATATGCTAGAAATACTAACTGGATGATTAAATCCCTAAATTTTCTCCTTGACATTATCTATTTACGTTTCGGCAATAAAGCTTATCGACAGGTTGTAAGAATAGCAGACTTGTTCCTATACAGTTATGAATCACATTGTATGGCCAAACTCAGTAAAACAACGTCTATTTTGTTATTCAATTGATAAATTCAACAACACTTATCGTTGTCTTGATGATACATTTTCACTAAAAAATCAAGAATCCTCTAAATGTACTGCAGAAACTTACGCAAAGGAACTGACATTTAATCAATATAATATTAACAGCAACAACAGATATTTCAGTGTTACACCAAAAACTCTAATGTTCCTTTTTAGACGGTAAAGTTCCTTTATAACTGTGAATTAATAAGTCAGGTATTTCGATGCCACAAATTACTCAAAAGCTTTTAGAAATTCTTCCATAAATACAAAACCGTGGTTTCCAAGTTTGGCTGTATATATAGAAAACTTATTTCAAACGGAATAACACATCCTAAAGGTTACGGAGATATTATTAACCGACTTATCAATCCTTTGAATAGACTTATTTTAAAGGGCTACCCATTCATCTTTGAATATTGTTTTTATTGGTGTAAATCCTGATGTTGTTATCAGTAGATTTAAACCATACTAAATATTACACATATGTACTTTCACGATACTACAATATGTCGATACCTATATGTTAGCATTGCACAATGCCATTGTTTTCTCTGACAGTTAATTATGTCTTCACACTTAACATTGATTGTTGGATGTGTACTGATTGATAGTTTAGTCCTAGTAACATTGTTTTCTATAAGTTTTTATTGGCTGTCAGCAACTTCGAGTACTCTCAGATTTGTACTTATTTTCTTTCATGTTTTTATTAATGAGGGATGTATATATACTCGCCAAGTCATGTCTATGTTTTTGTTTGATGAGGGTATTATAACGCCGAACAATAAATGAACATAGTGAAAGAAACAGTAAAGCATATGATTAAAAAGTAAGAGTAATGATCTTCTTTGAACAAGATACCTTACATATTGCCTTTTTTCGTATCTTTTCAGCACTTTCCATTGGAAATAATTGGTGACCGTCCTGATAGACCGTTCATTGTTTAGAAGATGAAATGCACGTTAAATATCAATTTCATTTCTGCTCGAATCGTTTCGATTTGTTTTAAGCATTACCTTGCTCACCACCAAGCCATTCCTTCCTTTTAAGGTCCATATATGAAAGACCATTGTATAATTCTATTCCATCTGTTGACATCCTGAATCGAGTTGGCCGTTTACCGACAAGATACCTGGCTATGGTTGTCTTTCCTGTACCCTGTTCTCCAGCTAACATTACTCTTGATTCAAAGTGTGGATAACTTTCTTCTTCCAACAGACTAGTGAACACTTGTGCAGATTTTTTGTCTAACTTTTGAACTTCAATTGGAAGACCTGGAATTTCGAATAATAAATCTAAGGTCACATGTAATATAAAACGATCTACAGATTGGCGTAGTAGTGCTGGTACATTTTCCGCAAATATTTCACCATTATATTGTTGGTACTATATTCGATCAAAGCAACGACCTATATAATTGTTTTGTGTTATTGCTGTTCGATTCGCGTGTATGGTTTTGGGGAAATAAACGAGAAAATCTTTTCTGACTAGTTATGAAGTCATGTCCCAAATTGTCCCGTTGTTAGGACCAACAAGCCCAAAAACTCTACGTATGCTAGGTATGCTAGGTGAAAACTTAAAAAGACATATAAGATACCAAATGGGCAATCGCAAATCGACAACCTAATTCAAATTGAAAGCATCGTTTTTTAAAAAACGAAAAGGACGGAAGGAGAAACAATAATAACAAAACATAACACAGATCACTTAAGATTGATTGAATGCAAAGTAAACCAAGAACTAAAATGTTAGCGTCAATTTAGCCTATAAATCAAAACTTCCTTTTTTCAGGAATTGTTCGTAAAACGTTTAGTCAGCATCTCAGTAGTACATCAACAGTTTATAATATGGTATATGGTATTCTTTAAAGCATGTCGGTTATCAGCTTTGTACTTTTTTGGCTTTCTTTAAAATTATCATCTGAGCGTCACTGGTGAGTCTAATGTAGACGAAACGCACGCATGGTGTATTAAATTTTAAACTTGGTACCTTTGATAACTATTAGCATGTCGAAATGTTCTATTGTAATGTTTATTTGTGTATTTTTCTGTCCGTAATGTTCTTGCATTTATTTGTACTGTAGTCCTGTCATGTAGTGTTATATTTAACATTGCCATAAAAGCGCGAGGTTTGGCTAGCCGCAAAACCAGGTGCAACCCACCATTGTTTTCTTAAAATGTCCTGTATTAAGTCAAGAAAATGGCAGTTGTTATCTTATAGTTCGTTTCTGTGTGTGTTGCATTGTCGTATTGGTTTTTTGTTGGGCTTCAGTGTTTCTGTTGTTTCGTTGTTTTCCTCTTATAATTGATGTGTTTACCTCAGTTTTAGTTTGTAACCCTGATTTGTTTTCTCACAATCGATTTATGACTTACGAACAGCGGTTTACTACTTTTGCCTTTATTTATCATTATGCATCTGGTATCGTTCATCATGTTCATTTATCAATTGTATTTGTTATCATTTAGCCTTTTGTTAAACGTATGGTATATAGTTTCGTTTAGTTTATGGTATCAGATATTTTCACTTCCATTCAGTTCCATAAGCCGAAAACTGAATGTATTGAGTGAAGAGCAAAACACAAATTAAAAGAAGGACATTGTACGTTGATCATTGATAAAAAGTTAGAAAAAAACATTGATTACACAACTAAAAACCAGTTGATAATTTGTTTATTTTCTAATTACTCTAATATTCGGGACACCCTTCATGAATTGTTTTTCAACTTTTCGGTAAGAACAAATATGGTTTTATTGTTAGTGTTCAATGTTTGTAATTGCAGGAATAGTTTACCGAAATACATTGATGAATATATAAGAAACTGATTTGATACTATAAAACAATATTATTCAATTAAAATAATTGTTTAACTAATGTTGCAAATAACAAACAAATTGGTTTTATTATAATATGAAATCATAACCTAGTCCTGATTCTGAAATACTCTACATTTACAAATAAGTGTGTTATATTGCCTGTACGAAATTCTAGAATGAGAAAAACCCTTACCGTGTAGTCGCCTAAAAAGTCCCCGACATGAAAAATATGAAATAATTCAACTGAGACAAGTACTGACTTAGGAAAGGCATATATATTATGTCATGTTTTGTCTTAATCTTAATCCCAATTTTATATTTTAATTTTAGAAATT